TCCCTACAAATAATCAAATAATATATTACAATTCTAACCCTAGTATTATTCTATGTTATAATATATATATCATATATGTGAGGCATTCTATTTCATATCGGTCACCAAATTTGGTGTGAGAATTTCGATTGGCTTCATATTTTTCCTTTTGTCTTCGTATATATGATCTGTAAAATTTTGGATTCTTTCGTGATTCTGACTAAATAATCAAGTACTTCTTCAAATTGTTATATCTCGGGTTCTATTCATCGTAGCGACTTCATTGTTGACTCTCACAAAATAAACCATCTCGTCATAAAAAAAACTATTTTAAAAATAGTTCTTGAAAAACTCCCATTTTTTTTGGAACATGTTTTTTATAGAGAATTAAACAAGGATTACGATGGTGTAATTTTAAATCCCAAATTTACTGGTCTTTTCTGTGCAAATCAACATAAAAAAGTTCAACTGTTAATGGCTAAGATAACTTTAGGACAATCATGACCATTACATACCATTATGGAGTCTCTACGATTAGTAGACCCCGAGATTTAACGATTTGAAGAAATACATGAATGGTCAGAATCACGAAAAAAATCGAACTTTAACAGATCATATCTCCGAAAGAAAATAGAAAAAAAATTCCTCGAATACTTGTTAGCTTATTTCATGTATAGAACCCATATAAAAAAGGATCAGTTCAGCGCCTCCGTCTTGACCGGGAGGCTGTGTCGGACACAGCCGCTAAACCTAAACGTAGAATACGTGATATTATTAAGACCACATTCAAGTTAAAAACGGTACATGAAATATTCGTTTTGATTGTATTGAATTGAATTTAATAAATCAATATGAATTGCAAAATATTAATAATTAGCAATAGAGATGCAAATCCACATTAACTTCATCACCATCATGTACATCAGCTTATAAATATATAGTGCCAGGTTGACCGAGCTTTGCCCGGAGTGTATATACTTTTTAAAGTTTTCACGATTTGGATAGCTTTAAAAAATATTATGGAAAAAAACGAAAATTGGATTTCGATGTCTATTAAATAAATTTCGTACACCAGATTTAAGTGGCAACCATATTCCAAAATACGTTGGAATGAATGGTACATATCTTGAATGGTACATACTCTTGAAGATTAATATTTTACCTTTTTTTCTAAACAAAAAATTAAATTAATATGTGTTTCAAAATATGTGGCAACCCTATTAAAAATGTTTTTAAATTAGGGATCTTTAAAATAACTTCCAATTGATACGCATATGACATTCTAATCAATTTGTAACTAATTTCGAATAGGTGGCAACCTTATACGAATCTTCTCGGATATAGTGCCTACTCAGATAACCTTAATATCCAAAACATTATCCGTGTACAAAATTTCATCAAAATCGGTAGAGCCGTTTCCGAGAATGCTATGGATATATATATATATATATACAAGAATTGCTCGTTTAATGCAATAAGCAGGGAACGGATGTTTAGGACCTAAAAACGTATAAAAAAGGCAAAATAAAATAACGAAATAGGCTGGAAAAGGCAAAATAAAATAGCGAAGAAGGCAGGAAGAGGCACTAGGTATTGCAAAAAAGGCAAAATAAAGCACTAAAAAAGACAGAAAATACGAAGAACAATCAAAAAATACATTTATTTTAGAAATGTTTATATTACAAGAAAAAAGAGAAAAACTATGAACTAGTTTCATTATATGAAAAATTTGTACTTTGAATCTTTGGCTATTGTATCCTTTCGAGTTTCTAACTCATAAAAACTTTAATCTGTTTAGTTGTAGTAACATTGAACCACAAGATGCATTTTGAAGTTTTCTGGCAGCATATTCATTCGATTTTCGCGAAGAAAAGCCTTGAATGTAATAAATGTGCGCTCGACGTAAGTTGATACAAGTGAAGCCCAATTTAAATATGGACCGTTTGAAACGTTCATATTATCAGGAATAAGGGCGTTTTCCTCGCCCTCTACAATTTTATCCACACCCCTTATTGTCACCAAGCCTACGCACATAGGGGTATTTGAACGATTTAGGCGGCCAAAAACCAACTTGACAAAATTTTGAAGGAAACTTACAAAATTAGTCACATTCGATAGAGAGTATTCCAAATAACATTTCCCAGTCACCCTCACCTTTTTAACTTGCACAGCGAACGCTCACCGTTGAGCGGAAGCAGAATATTCTAACGCTGCATATAAATTAATTTTCGCTCTCTAGAAAGATCGTACGATATTTCAGTAAATGTTGTATCCACATTGTTGAAAATTGGTATGCGAAGTAAAATTTTGGAACAAATTAGGATTATTATGTAATTTTTGGAAAATGGGAATGGCCCCGCCCACTTATGATGAAATGCTGTATCTCAGTATCCGCTTCACCAATCTGTACCAACTCGGTATGAGCCTTACTTAGGCTATATCTAATATATCTGCTAAAAGTCTTTGAAATCGGGCGATAACCACGCCCACTTTTCATATAACGGTAATTTACAGAAACACGAAAACTGCGATAAATCAGTAACTACTAAAGCTAATTCACTCACAATCAATTCTTGGAATAACCTCTTATCTTTACATCAGACTATTATACTTTTTTGGGTACTGGGCGTGGTGTCGCCCACTTATTACCAAAAATGTATATCTCTGTAACCGATTTATCAATTTGTACCAGACTCGCTGCACTTAATAACCTTGGTGTGGAAAAGCAATACGTTGGAAATATTTCAGTAATAGAGGACGCAAATTCACTCCAAGTTAATACTTAGAACATTCTCTTAACAATAAATAAGACTGTTATATTCCTGTTATTATTACAAAAATGTAGTTTTATTACATTTTCTTACCTATACTGTGATAGTACATATATGAATTATCTGATTGTCTAAATNTAGACTGTTATATTCAGGGTACGAAAATAAACTCTATTGTACGTTACTATTTCGTTTCGTTTATTACTTCAACAGTTCGGTACAATACGAAAACAAAACGGCTGAGTTCACTTTGGCGATAGTACACTACAGTAGTTTAGTTGTTACAGACCACATTGGTTGAAATTACCGGTTTCAGCGGCAGAAAGTCCATTTTTAAAGTTATGTTTTTGTTAAAACTAAGAATTGCACGTTGTAGGAAACTATTTAGAATACCCGAAAACGAAAAAATTATGACCAGGTGGCATCTCTGTTTTTATAACAAAGCTGTCAAAACAACAGTTATTTTTTCATCTTCGTTTTCTGTTGATTTACTTCAAAATAGTGAAATAGAAACATATGTTTTTTTAATAATAGTTGATATAATACAAATATCTAAAAAATGGAAATTACTTCTCAAGCTATGTATAACAATATGCTCTAATTATTTTCTAAATAAAAGTGTTGTGTTTGATGAAAATCTGCGTTAAAGTGTGTCGTGTTTGTAGTGACGTTTTGGTGGTGGCGTCTGTGTTTATTGGAATAGAACCGTCTTCATTCGAGTTCATTCGCAAAGTTATTTATATCTATAGATAGGTCAAGATGTGAGCTTTCATATCGTGAAAAAATCTTTTGCCCCAATTTACCCCAACTCATAATATAACTGATTTCAGGCACCATCAAAATCAACAATTCCGATATTGTAAGTTTTTGGTTAGAAAATAACCACAATGCAAGACGCGTTTTTAATTGGATATCTGCGAAATTTAATGGAAGTGGTGATGAAGACGTTGGAATATTTTGACGTAAGAGTTTATTTACAAATGTTAACATAACAATTTTCTTAATTTTACCTTATCTTTCTTTACAGTTAGAATAAGTATTGATGAACCGTCTGGATAGATGTTATATATAAACCTTTCAGAGAATATTGTTTAAGTTATTTAATGTATTTGAGTACAGAAATTAATTTGATAATATGATTTAATAAATATTAAAAAAAAAAAAAATTGGTTGGACAATATTTCGACGGACGGACATATAAATCGATATAACTCCCCTATATATCGATCCAACTAGCTGATTTTTTCACTGTACACTTCTTTAACTGTCACTAATACATGTGCCAAATATTACAGCTCAAACTTCTTCCTGTGAATTACTGCCGCTGAAACAGGTCATTTCGACCAATGTGCAGACGAAACAACAAACGAAATGAATCGTGCAGAGAAAAATATATGTATGTATGTACACATATCCAATACCTAAACACAAAACAAATAGCTGCAATGAATAAATAAATAAAAAAGTTTTTTAATTGAATTGGATATGAAAATTTACAGAAAAAAATATTTTTCACGTAATTGAAACGTTTGTGATATCACCCTATGGCACAATTGTCACAAACGAAAGCAAACGTTTCTAGTTGGGGAAAATGACAGTGAATCTTACAAATTGTTTCTGACTATGTACAAAACTGTACAAAACCACAAATGATATGATGATCGATGAGCAAATGGGAATTGTTTTGTACAGTTTATTTTCGTACTCTGGTTATATTACTGTTATTATTACAAAAATGTAGTTTTATTACATTTTCTTACCTATACTGTGATAGTACATATATGAATTATCTGATTGTCTAAATCAAAATTGAATTTGATTTTTTTAACCGGTACACTTAAAAAAATTATAGCTATGGCTGCTATGTTTTCTGGTGCTGGATGCTATGTTCTTAGTAGAAATCGGGATAGTGGCTGTTTATTGCTGTCGCTGCTATATTTTATAATAATAGAAATAGTGGATCACGCTATGGTTTATTATTGGGTTTCCTATGTACATTGCCTCACTTGCTGGATAAAATTGTAGCTACCGCTATTTAGCATTGCAACGACTGCTATGTGGCATTGCAACGACTGCTATGTAGCATTGCCTCACTTGCTAGATAAAATTGTAAGTACCACTAAAATAATGGCTAGTGACGATGAATAAAAATGCATTGACTGCAGTTGTATATTGTTTTATTTTCATTTTATTAAAGCAACGACTGCTATGTGGCATTGCAACGACTGCTATGTAGCATTGCCTCACTTGCTAGATAAAATTGTAAGTACCACTAAAATAATGGCTAGTGACGATTTGGTCGTATTCTGTGCAAATTTCGTATACATACTTCTGTATAAACGTCCAAATTGGTTTACATGCGTCCGCATACGCACAGTTCAGTGATTGTGTAATTTTGAAGCAAGCGTCAATTGCCAGCAACGCAGTCTCAAATAAAAATAACGTCTCATTGACAACAACATAAGCTGCTGTGATATTTTCTGCAATCGGATTATATAAATTTAAAAAACAAAATTAATTTTTCAATCAAAATGTACAAACCATAACTGGTACCAATCAAAATTATGCTGGGTTGCAGCGTGGCCTTTCTTTGTGCTGCATCGTTTTTTAGTTGCTTCACTTTCTCAAGTACTAAGTTTCCATCCTTAAGAATGTTTCAGTTTTTAAAAATAGATAAATAAAATTAATTATGCCAACTTACTTCATGCAAAGCCAAAAAGCAACCAGTAACCTCTTGCTTAGTCAATTTTCGCTTTTTTTTTGTCCCCTCACACTTGGTGTACGTGGAATTTGTGAGACAATGACATAAGATTAAAAAGCCTTTAAATTGGCAACTGCCATTCAAAATATCGGAAAGGTCCTTCGACTTTTTATTTTTGGCATACTTGCACAGTTTTCTTTCAATTTCAGGCCACAAAGAACTAATTTTGTCGGCACTTAGTGGATGATTTGTGTCGAAATCAACGATCAACAGTTCTGCTCCCTTCGTTGTTTGAAGTACTGGGAAATACTCAAAGTATTGGAATACGGAGTTTTGTGTGGCTAGCAACTTATTGCGTTCTTCATGCGTCTTCCGCCAATAGTCCAATATTTTGAACCAAGGAGTTACATTGGTTTTTAAAAACTCAACACATTCATTGTGCTCTATATCGACCTCATCAAAAGTAGCAACTGTGGGATTTTGAGGTTTGCATAATTTGCTTTTTAAGTGGTTGTAGATATCCCACAATTTACCGGTTGCATTTCGTTTTATTTTTGATTGATATGGTGTATAGTACAATGATGAAAAGTTTTTTTCGCTTGGAAAATATTCCACAATTTCTGAAGTTAACTTCATAAACCGGTCTGTTGAGATTTTGAATTTTTTAGGGTAATTTAAAGCCTCAAACTCCTTGTAAATTATTACGCGCGCCGAAGTACTACGATGGAAGTTATCTAAATTTCCATTGGCTTTGTAAAAGACTTCAAGCAATTTTCCATCGGTACAATTCAGATAACTTGGCACGGTTTTTTCAGGCTGAGGTTCTGGACTGTATATTAATATGGAATTCGTCCCTGATATTGACGTGTCAGTCACATATGAATTCACCTCAATAGGTATTTCATTTGCTGTTACAGGCGTCTAAATAAAAACACTTTAGGTATAGTAAATAGTAAATAGTAAAACAATAGTAAATAGTAAAACAATTTTCCCTACCTCAGAAAGAAATTCGTCATTAAATTTTTTCCAAAATTTAGCTCGCAGTCCCTGTCTGGGTATTAAATTGCATATTCCGTTATAGTCCAAGCTTTTGAACGCCTCCTCATCAAAGCCTTCTTCTAAAATAAACATAAACAAATTTGTTTATCTTTTGATTTCATAGTTGCATGCGCTAAAATGTACATATGTATGTGCGCAATCAAACAATGTGGACGATCCAGACTCAGAAATGCTTGAGTGACCTCGCTGCACAAATTAATATGCGCGAACGAATTGTGTGAAATGCTCACATACTTATGAACTTTAAGCGCCAAACACAAAATGCATTTACGCGAACACTATGATTACACAACTTACACAACTTAGTTAATATTTTTAAAATGCTTAATAAAGAATTACACGATTTGATGTACTTTACTTGTCAATGACTCACCACAAAAAACCAAGCGTCATCAACAGTGTTGCCATGAGAATGATAATAAGGGTTATAAATCAATTTTCACTTTTAGCAACCCCGGTTTGCGTTTCAATAAATTTTATTTTACATTTGCATTTTGCACTTTTTATTAGGTACTTACCTTTAAAAACATCAATTAACGACACCAATTCCCACTCAACAAGTTTTTTCTCCACATATTCCTTCATTTTGATTTATAAATTCTTTTTCTTTTGTGTTGCACTTGAAATGTCGCACTTCAACTTAAAAATGCAATTTTGACAGCTGATCGAGAGTGAATTGGCATAAAAAATCCGAAACAGCAGCGAACATAACCATAAATGCTAAACACATAGCCATAAATGCTAAACACATAGCTCTCACAGCTATGTTACATTGCTACATCAGCTACCGGCAATGCTATGAGTTTCAGATGTTTATATTAGCGGCTGGTGCTATACAAACGGCACTATATACCATAAATACTTGCTGCCACAGTGATTTATGTTGGCTTAAAAATAAAGCTACTACGGCTATAATTAATACTGATCATGCTATATACATAATAGAAATCGCTTTAATATTTAGCGTATGCAGTAATAACACGGCTGCTATGGTAAATAGCAGAGGAATAGTGATTCTGTTTTTTGAGTGTAGCAACCCTGGAAGGTTGGTTAGAGATAAAGCCTTTTCAAACCCATTACCATTGATACCCATATTGCAGCAATTCATTTAACTAATTGAACAAAAATGTTTAACAGGTGGCAACTCTGTTAATGTTTTAACCTAGATATAAACCTTCTCCTCGAGACGAACACGTAAATATGCGTTTTCCTACAATCGCACCACGGCAACATGAAGTCCATCGATGTCAAACGTTAAGCAACTTTATTTTCTTTGTTTTGATGGAAGATTTGGAAGTCCTCCCCTAATAATTATTTGATTTGAAACATTTACAAATCTATATGTCAAAACACGTATTTTCTAAACATTTCGAGTTGAAATATTCATAAAAATAATTTTGGCCGCATAAATCGGCCAAATACCCCTATGTGCTACGTTAGCTGAGAAAACGGCTTTGAATTTTTCCAACACCAATTTGGCAAGAGGTCCCTGCGCTTCTATAAGCCGCATGCGCATGTGTATATTTTTTAATCTTAAAAAAAAAAAAAAAATTGTAAATGCTATAATCACTTTTATAAAGGTAGAAAAGGCAAAAAAAGGCAAATATCTTAAAAAAGGCAAAAAAAGGCAACATCAAATGTGTATATATGGAATCAGAGAAAGCTAAATCGTGGACATACTTAATCGAATATACTCTATCTCTTTAGCAGAAAAAAAGGAAATTTCCATAAAATCCCTGGTAATAAGATACATATACCATGACGTGTATCAATACTTGGATTCATTATACCCGTACGCACTTGTGCACAAGGGTAGTATAACTTTGTTCACATAACGGTTGTTTGTAACAGGCAAAACGAATCGAGATAGATATAGACAAATGTATACATAAATGATCAGGATGAAAAGAGAAATCGATTAAGCGGTGACTGTCTGTACGTCCGTCTGTGCACACGATAACTCGAGTAAAAATTAAGATATCTTAGCGAAACTTGGTATGTGTACTTCTTTCGGACGTAGGACGTATGTTATTGGGCAAAATCGGACAATAACCATGCCTACCTCCCATATAACGGTAATTTTCATAAATACGAAAACTGCGATATTTTAGTAACTACTGAAAATTATTCACTCAACATTGATATTTACAATAATTTTAAGACGAACAATAAGAATATTATATATATTATATTATTATTATTATATACAGTTGTTGACCTTGGTACAGCATACCAAATAGCGGATAATAACCACCCCACATTCCATATAAGGGTAATTTAGAGAAATACGAAATCTTCGATAAATCAGTAAATATTAAAGCTAATTTATTCAAAATTTATGCTTGCAACTATTCGTTACCAAGAAATACGTTTGTGATAAAATTTTGGAAAATGGGCGTGGTACCGCCCACTTATGATCACATATATGTATCTCGGTAACAGTTCTACCAATTTTTACCAAACTCGGTGTGGTTATTGTACTTGCCACATAGAAGGAAAACGTTGAAAATTATTGAAATCGGACTAAAGTTACGGCCGCTTTTCAAATAACGGTAAATTTCAGAAATGCTTGAAACTTCAATATTTCGTAATTTAAGGACGCTAATTTACTAAAAATTGATACACCCCGGCTTACCATGTATTTATTTATTTACTAGCGGTACCCCGGTGTGCTTCTTTACACCAAATATTGAAAAATTAATGAACAAACCTTGAAATTTTGCTATATGAAAATTTATCATTTGTTTTATTTCAAAATTTTTGATTCTTTATTTTAAATCTTAATCCAACACATTGGGATATACAACATTTTTTGTTTTTCCATCTTGGCTATGAATAAATAAACAAACCATCTGCATAATAGCCCGAGTATGCCGTACAAATTTGGTTGAAGTCGGTGAAGCCGTTCTCAAGTTATAAGCTCACACCAAAAACGCGTACTTATTTTTATACATAAGATACATATGCCACGCCCCCTTTTCCAAACTTCATATAAAATATCTGCATGATGGCGTGAATATGCTATATAAATTTGGTAGAATTCTTTGAAGCCGTTCTCAAGTTATAAGCTAACTCACTAATTTTTATATATAATATAGAGGCGCCACGCCCCATTTTCCGAATCCTAGCAAACTTCACATAAACCAACTGCATGATAGCCCAAATATTTCGCATAAATTTGGTTTAATTCGGTGCAGCCGTTCTCAAGTTATATGGTCACACCAAAAACGTTCACTTATTTTTATATTTTAGTTAGTATGGGTGGTGCCACGTCCCCTTTTCCGAATTCGGGCAAACTTCGCATAAACTATCTGGATGATAGATCGAATATGCCACATCAATTTGGTTGAATTCGGTGAAGCCGTTCTCAAGTTATGAGGTCACACCAAAAACGTGCACTTATGCTTATATATAAGATTTAATTCATCAATTAGAGTACAACTCAAAAAGTAATAATGAACAATAAAAATGTTTAAACATAGACCTAACATAAAACAGATAGACTAATTATAATTTAAAAAATGCAGCCTGAGATTTAGTTTAGATTTAAAACACTCACGAGAATTTGAGAATACATCTAAATTTTTACAAACATGGTTAGTCTGCCTCAGACAACGTGTAAGCGGCTCATTAAGCATGAAGTTGGTCTTGCAATAAGGTAAATAGAACATGTCGCTGAATCTGAGATCCCGAGCAGGACAATTGAAATGAATAAGCTCAAGTAAGAAGTGGCAATTGATGTGACTCGTGACCATGTCCCTAATAAATATTATCGAAGAAATTTTTCTACGCATTCGTAATGTCGGCAATGCCAGCATAAGGCACCTACTCTTATAATTAGGCACACTACAATTCCAATTCAGGGACCTTCTCAATCCTTAAGGATGAACCCGAATAGAAAGGATCCCAAATGATGCTGCAATACTCAAGATTGGATCTTAAAAATGCAAAATACAAATTCTTGAGAGTGAAAAGGTCCTGGAATTCATTTGAATTTCTCATTAAGAAGCCGAGCATAGACCTAGACTTGGTTATCATCAAATCTATATGTTTAAAAAAGGACATTTTCGAAGAAAAGATGACCCCCAAATCTTTCTTTTCATAAATTTTAGTGAGAGTGGCAGTGCCCAACCTATAATGATAGTCAATTGTCACTTTACGTCTACTGAAGGACATATACTGGCATTTACCAACGTTGAGAGGTAAGCAGTTAGCATCACACCATACTTGCAATCTGAGTAAGTCATCTTGAAGTTCAATGCAGTCGGACGTGTTTCCAATGCGACTGTATATCTACAAGTCATCTGCGTACATTAGACAACGAGATGTTAAGAAAACGTCGGTAATATCAAGAAACGTAACGGTCCCAGGTGGCTGCCTTGTGGTACACCAGAAGTGGATTTAATCGCATCTGATTTAGTGTTATTTATACGGACGAATTGGGTCCTATCAGCAAGATAAGATGCAAGCCACTTAAGCGTGCTAGCATGAAGTCCAATTGATTCCAGCTTTTACTTGTTGTGTTATGACTCACCTTATCAAAGGCTTTCGAGAAGTTGGTGAAAATGACATCGCATTGTTGACCGATCCCGAATTGTTTTAAAATAAAATTTGAAAATAAGGCCAAGTTTAAAGAAGTGGACCTACCCTTAATGAATCCGTGCTGGTAAGGCGATATGAGCCCAGAAATCTGGAAAACAATCCTATCATGGACAAGTTTTTCGAAAAGTTTTGGTATACTTGAAATTTTACCGATTGGACGATAATTTTGAATGTGCGACTTGCTCCCAAACTTATGAATAGGTATAACGAAGGACTTTGTCCAATTATGTAGGAATTACCCTAATGATAGGGATTTGTTAAAGATAATTGATAGAGGCAGAGCTAACGCTGAAGCGCAGTTCGTTAATAAAGTAGGAGGGAAACCGTCTTCTCCAGGATTTGGGTCATTTGGCAAATCCAAAAGGCCAGCTAGAACTTCTTCAGCTGAAAGCTGTAAGCCTTTAAGCACAAGTGTGCTGCTATGTAAGTTATTGACTGTTCCGGTTTCAGACTGAGGAACATAAACAGAGCGGAAGAATGAGGCAAACAGGTTACAAATAGTTTGAACGTCCGTCGAGTATTCACCCAAATAATGCATCAGATCAGGAATTCCGGTGTTTTTCTTTTTGCTGTTTATAAACTGCCAAAACCGTTTACTATTTAATCTTATTTCGCTCTCAATGTTCAGTATATAGCTCTGGTATAAAAATTTATTCAGGTCGTCAAACTCTTTTTGTAAACTACTGTAGGCTTCAAAAAGTTCAAAATTGTCTTTCGATTTGCGATACAGCTTGTACGCCTTGGTTTTCTTGTTGTTTATATTAATAAGCCTAGAGTTATACCAGGCTGGTTTGGACAAATTTTTTACTGGCTTCATAGGTACGAACTTTTCAATTGCCGCTTCTAGGTTGTCCCGAAATACGTCGTAGGCCTGTCACAATAGAGCTTTTTCTAAGGCAGATTCCTAATCAACAGAATTCAGAGAGCGTGATATCTCAACGAATTTGGCTGTAATGAAATTATAGTTCTTACAATTATAAATA